ACACGCGAAATAGCAATAACAAATTAATTTTTTTTTAAAAAAAAACTGGTTTTAAGTTCATAAGCAAAAATGGCTTTTTGAGCATGTCATATTTTAATCCCTTAATTACATTCTTGGAAGCTACAGAGCGGCCCACATGGTATTTTTTTACTACAACTTTAGCAGTTTAGAATTTTTGAACTAATGTTAATTCGAATGTTAAATGATTTTATTCCATCCTACAGCATATATTTTTATCTACACACCTACGCAATTTCAAAACTTATGGTATACTAAGACAGCAAAACAAAATTTATACAAACACCCATGACTGATTTTTTAACATAGAAATAAAATAATTCCTTGCTTGAAATCAATTCACTATTCATGCATTGAAGATACAATAAATTGTTATGGTAATCTAAAAAATTCTAAACATTACTTTCCAATTTCGATTTTGAAAAAAATACACAACTTTATTTGAAAGTGTTACGTTAATTCTTTCAAATAAATGAATATTCTTTCTCAGTTTAACGTCCGACTTGTTTGTTTCTCAGAAACATTTGCTAATGACATTTAAATTTTATTTTTGAAGTATTTGATTAAGATACTTTATCTAGAAAAGTTCCTACAATTCGATGGAGCAATCTCGAAACACAGAATTATTCTTTTCACTAGTTACATTTATTAAATGGAAATTCTATTCAAACGTGCTTATCTTTATTTCGCTTGAATTCTGCAGTAATAATAATAAACTAACGCCTAAAAGAAATCTAAATTTTCTAAAAGTAAGAAATATTCGAGGCGTTATACAAATCATTACACACATTCTTTGTTCTGAATGCTTATCTCTTTCAAAGGGAAAATTCTTAACCAAGATAATTACTTAGAAGGTGCATTTCCACTCGAAAAACTTCTGTCTTGGGGAAAAAGGAAAAAATCTTGTTCATTTAAATGTCTTCCATGCGTTATATTGAATGTATTTCCAATAGAGATTTGAAAAAGAAAAATAATTTCTTCTATTTAATGGTTCTGAAATCATTATTCGAAACGGTCCGAAATTAAGTTGTAGTTTTATTGGTTATTATAAAATCTGGCTTTATTTTTTTCTTCTTTTAAGTCAAAATATAAATAACTTAAAGCAGTGAGTTCATATTTGTAAAATTTAGTTTTTGTATTGCAGTCATAACTAAGTTTAACTGTTGATGATTCTATGTTTCTAACTTTTAAAGTTAGCTTAGGTTTTAAGTTAGAACATTTTAGCACTAACTACATTTTTTTGAGAAACTAACTAATTGATTAAACAATATTAATAATTCGAACTGTAAAATCTATTATTTTTCTATCAGTAACTTTTTTCAACCGTTGAAAAATCTTAACTGTCTTCCATGCGTTATATTGAATTTATTTTCAATAGAGATTTAAAAAACGAAAAGTACTCCTTTTTCTGTTTAAAGGTTGTGGAATTATTATTTGGGACGCACCGAAATTAAGCTCCCTTATATGATGTTTTTTTCTTCTTTTAAGTTTTATAAATATCTTAAGTCAGTAAGTTCATACTTGTAAAATTTAGATTTTGTATTGCAGTCATAACTAAGTTTAATTGCTGATGATTTTATGTTTCTAACTTTCAAAGTTAGCTTAGATTTTAAGTTGGAACATTTTAACACTAATCACACATTTTTGAAAAACTAGCTACTTGATTAAACAATATCAATAATTCGAACTGTAAAATCTATTATTTTTCTATCAATAACCTTTTTCAACTGTTGAAAAAAATCTTAACTGTATTCCATGCGTTATATTGAATTTATTTTCAATACAGATTTAAAAAAAGAAAAATACTCCTTTTTCGGTTTAGTTTGCAAAATTTAAAATTTTCTTTATTTTTCAGATGGTTTGTCTTCTAAATATAGATCGGATAAACCCGGGAACGAGTTACAAAAGAATTTGAAGAATTCAATCATTTTTTTTTTTTGGCGCAAATTTACTCCATTAGACTTTAGCTTTAAGTGAGACATAGGAAGAAATACTTCCTTTTTTGGATCCTTTCTCTCTGTTTGTTACTCCAGGATCTAATGCCTTCCTGATTTGCAATTCTTCCTTAGTGTAATGTTGCTTTTTTTTTATCTTAACTATCTCATTCCTAAAGAAATTTCGTGTACCTTTTCTGTTAATCAAGTAACATAGAAATCACATTTACTGCTAACTATTGCTTTTCAAATCATTGTAAACTATATTATGTTTAATAAGCTGTGTATAAGTTCAGAGACATATTCTAGATTGGAAACGTTTTTTATTTATTTACTGTATAGTAGTTCAATCCATCAATTTACTGTTTATTAGTCTATAAATAGGAAGTTAAAAATAGCTTTTTCTAGTCAGACATATACTTAAGTCCTAAAAAAATTCGCTGCGATTTGATATCTAACTAACCGTGATGGGATATCATTATTTTGAAAACTATAAGAAACATCATTTGCAATGTAAACAATCTTTTTAATCAAAGGGCTTTGTCATTGATAATTATCATTTCTTAACTTATAAAATGATAGGTTTTGTTATATAAGCTGGAATTGAATTATAATATCGTTTAAGTTTGTTGTAAACTTAATAAGATGTCAAATTGAACCAAATTAAGCTAATAGACAGCAAATTTAACTTAATTGAATTTATGGTCAAATTGAACCAATTATTAAACTTGATTACTTATTATTACGATTCGCATTCAATGGAATTAGTTTTGAATTTAAAACCTAGCAGAAAAATTTGAACGGGTTTATCGTTTAAGATTTAAGATTAGATTGGTTAAAAAATGAATAATTTGATATAGTTATAAATAAATAAAATAGCCTCGGAAATTAAGTTTATTTAATAATGACTTTAAATTGTACCTCAACAGTAGAAATTTTGGATTCTATTGGATCACAACATTCCTTAATTTTACTGCAACTGTTATAAAGTGCAAAATTGAATCATAATAATATGATTTAATCCTTCTTGAGCTTAATTACATGCTACTATGGTTTAATTTATTAAAACATGGTTGATTTTGAAACATTTTTAAGTTTTCTTTTTTTTTTTTTAATTTTTAAGATAATACTATTAGTATTGAGAAAAAAACCAATGGTCAAAACTTCCAAAATATGTTAAAATTTACAGTGTTTCTAGTCTTATGGAGACACCAAAAAGCTCGGTAATTTTTTAAGCACTTTAATAATTTTGGTAAAATAAATAAAAAATATGGTTTTATAGTGTGTGATAAAATTTTGTGATGTTGTAAAATTTGGTAAATAATGTAAAGTTTAGTAGTTTTATGATGATAAATTTAAATATGGCATAAAAACCATTTATTTGTTAAAATTCAACTTTTAGTTTTGTATTTTGTATTAAATGTGAGGTAATAAGAACTATAATTTTAAAAATCAGTATGTCCAAAAAAAACGTTACAGCATGAACGAAATGAATGGTTTAAATTCCGCATATTTTGGATTTATTAACCAGAATCATGATTTTTTTTTTATCAGAAGTGTCGTTGCCATACAGTATGGTACCATATGTGGTATGTGGTGTAAAATTACGTAATTTTACCAGAATTTATTTTCTTCGTGATTGCACGACCTGAAACCAAGTAGTCTGCAAATTTTTCTTCATTTACATTCAAATACTAACCTTTCACCTCCAAATTTTTAAACACTGACTTGAAATGTAGTTATTATAATTCTCAAAGTTTAAGAATCTCCCATCGATAATTCTTCTGTGTTACATTTCTTCGTTTTATATCATTATTTTTCTCAAAATACTTACATAAAAAAATTAGTTGAATCTCAAATTTAGAGATATTTAGAAAGATTTCGTTCACTCATTGTCTTTCATAAGTTATTTTGAATATATTTCCGCTGTACGGGCTGACAGAAAAATATTATGCTTACTGGTCCTGAAAGTGTACTACAAAATATACTCAAAATTAATTTAAAATTTTATTTCCTATTCTTAACTATGATCTACTTCGGCAGAATATATTTCTTTTCCTTAAAGGTTATATATGCTGTAAAAATAAGAATTTAAAATATAAAATTCATATTGATAAAAAGTTTAGTTAATTTCTAAGATCAATGACGCACTTTGATTACCTACTCATCACTGTTATTATGAAAGTTCTATTATTATAGAATTAAATATTTTGTATTCTTTTACTACTAATCACCAATGAGCGTGAAATGTAAATATTTAAGAGATGCTTTTAATATCACAAATGACATTAAAAATATTTATCAAGATTTTCACCATACAGAATCATTTCAAGACGATCCAAAGTCGGTTATTTTTTACAACAAAAATCGCACAAAGTTTCACTATTTTTCGCATTTTTTTTATCGAAGTTCTTTTCGCATCGTATTTTTTCAATTATACGCCAAAATTTAACTGTTATGCATTAGAATTTATTGAATACACTGCATACTCTTATATTTTCTTCCAAAACGAAAACTGTATTGTGGTGCTATCTATTCAACTTTAAGAGCTAACTATTATTAAAAAAGTCAAAACTGAAAAAATTAGATTTTAAAAAAAAAGAATATTTTTCTTTTTGAAATTCCATTAACTTTTCACTTCGAATCTCATTATATACACTGTAAAACTTACCAATAAAACATTAGATATTAATTATAAAATCAAGTTTTTAATTTATTGTGCTGCCATCTATATTCATAAAGAAGTACTACCAGTAAAAATAAGCAAATTAAATATAACAGAAATATATTATGCAATACCAACATTTTAAGTGCCCAATACCGCACGTCAGAAACATTTTTGGAGACTCTTTAAAATACACGCCATGAATAGAAAAATATTTAGGAAATATAAATTAGTTTTTTTTTTGTGTTATATAGGATGTCTTTATTAAAAATTTCACGAATCGTTTTTCGGAACATGGCTCTCGTATCGCCATAAATTTCCTACACTTTATAATCCACGCAATTAGTGAGTAAGCTTGAGGCCTAGATAAATGCAAGAAATACCTTTCCATAATATCCAGTGCTCTGAATTCCGGTCCATTAGTTTGGGATCTATTTCCATAATACGTCCACAAACGTAATCCCTTTTGAATGGAGCTTCCAAGTCATCTTATAGTAAAGCAAGACTAGTAGCAAACGCAAGCCAGTGGGATTACCAAACGGAAATCTTCGAATACTTGATCACAGACATTTTTGGCCACTGCATACAACAAAAAAGAAATTTTACTTCTACAGAAATGAAAAATAGGAATAAATACTACTTTCTATATCTGACTGCGTTTTTAAAATTAAGAAGTTCAAGATGTACAATATGCATATAACATAAAAAAATTGCCTTAAGTTCAAAAAGATAAATAACATAGAGTTAAATAACAGAAAGAAAAAAAAAGAATAAATAACAAACAAAAAATAATAGGAAATTGTTAAAAATTTTGAGTACACAAAACATTTATTGTAATAGTAATTTTCTGCAACCTGTTCATTATTTTTGTTTTATTTAACTGATTTTTCAAATAATCACATTTTCCTCACAAATTCATGTTCAACTGTATTGCACAATATTTTTATTGCTTACTTGTTTATATTTTTCGTCTTCATTGTGCAAACATATTTCATCATAGATATGATTATATTTCAGCAAAGAAAGTTTAAGCTATTATGAATATGGGTTCGAGATCGAATCATAATTTCATTACTTTGAATTACGTATTTACATGCGAATTTCCATCCATCTAAATTAGGTGCTTAACTACTGCTCATTAATTTCAATACACTTATTATTTTTTCACATTTTCTAAAAAATTCACAAAATAATTATATATCGCAAAAATATAATATCTTGTTAAAGCAAAAGAACGTATTTAATAACATAATTTAGTATCTATTACAGAATTAAAACATCTGAACTACATTTGTCTTAAATTTTTCTATAATCAACGAAGATGGCTTCTCCACTTTAGTAGCTTGACGACCAGGACGCGAAGTCGAGCACTAGACGGTACAGCAGTTTAACGAGGACCGACAACACACTTCTTCGGTTTCTTCACAGGCTGATCAAAGTGGTCACCCACCCGCCCACTAACAGCTGCCACTACTGGGAACCATGTCAGTGGGAACCGTGTCTTTATGATTAGAAGACCACTGTGATGAAAAACAGACAGAAAAATACATAAAATTAAGTAACCTTTTAAAAAATGCTGATTACAAAATTGTACTGAAATATTAGATTAAGCTTTGTTAAAAAAATCTAGAATAACAGCTGTGTTGCCCATATAGTAAAGATTCTTCTGTTGAGTAAGTAAATATCATTGTAAATATTAACTGTAAATGATTTAAATCAAAAACAATTTTCTCCCACCGTCTATTTCTTAACCAGTTGAATTTGGTCGACAGTAAAAATGCTCTTAGATATAAAAATAAACCCTGTTTAAAAATTGAATATTGTAATGTTGAATATTAAATTTTATGCGCAACGTTATGTAAAACATCTTTTATAACTGAAGAATTAAATTTATATCGAATCATTTTAACATTAATTTAAATTATGGGATTAAAGCTTTCTACGTTGTGTTTTAAGAGACATACAAAATTCGCACTCACTATAAGTTCATTTGACATTACATTACAATAAAATCGAGTTTTAATGCTTAAGGGTAAAAAATCATAAAATTTTTAATTTAATAATACAGACTATACTATAACTATTATTATTTTAGTTATTATCTAAATTTCATTTTACGCTGCTAGAAACCCATAATTTTAGACAGTGTGATGTTTTTGTGTTTGATTATTAGATAAAAAAAATTTAAAAACCATTTTGTGTTTTCATGGATAAGGTTTCAAAAAATATAATTTTTAAAGTAAAAATAAAAATATAAAAGGAAAATTAAAGTAATAAAAAACAGACATTTGATTAAAAATTAGTTTACATATTGGGATAGAATTTGAAGCACTCAATGGAAGAGTTAGGACACTTATTACTTTAAAATATTAAGGAGATTGAAATATTAGGATGGTAAAAAAGTTTTTCCCAGCATTCGTGTAGATTTATAGTAGTTGTTTCTAAACTATATAAACTTTTATATAAACTTTGAATAAACTTGACGCATATTTAAACCATTGATGCGTAGCATAATAATTTGAATATATTGCAGTAATAATGTATACAGCAGGATTAGAAAACTATATTGCCCGACATATTTTCCGAAAACTATATTGCTACGATATTGCTCGACATGCCCGAAGCATGTAAAATTTCTGAAAGGGCAGGGAACTTTTATTCAGAAATGTCTTAAACTACTGATTAAACATTCATTTAAAGTTTAATTACAAATAAAATTTATAAAACACATCTAGCTTTTAAACATTTTTATAACTTATTCGATTTTATTCCTTTAATCACGCTTATTTTTTGTAAAAAAAAAAAAAAAACTAACTTCAATTGCTGTGCATAAGAATACAATAATTATAGAAATGGAAATTTAAAAGTGAATGCAAAAGTGAGAGTGATACTTGTGAATAACTCTTAATTGAGATGTAATTCAAATCTTTATTAAACAGAAGAAATGGTTTTTATGACATGCTCTAAAGTATAATGATGAAAATATCAAATTTTATCACGTTTTTGAAATTTATAACATTTTACAGCCTTTTACCGACCTTTTTGGTGTTTCCATAGAGCCAGAGAGTGTAAATTTTACCAGATTTCTTTTCTCAGTGTGGTATTCAAAAGAGGAAAACGGGTAATTTAATTATTTATTTTCTAACTTGTTTTGGGTAGGAGTAAAATATTTAGGACTACTAGGGCTTACCAACAGTCATAACATCTTGTACACAGTAATACGTTTTACAAATTAATTTATATTTTATTACTGAGTAAAATAAGGACTAATAACGGTAATATACTTCTACTGAAAAAGAATAGACCTAGAATAGTTTTGCTACTCGTTTTTTTTCTCTTTTTTAGCCCTGTCTAGTCAGCCCTGTATATGTTTGTTTATATATGTTTGTATATTGTCATCTTACCTACTAGAATTTCAGATACATTTTTCTTTTCAACAGAAGTGTTTTACCATATGTCAAGATACTATTTAGGTTTGTAATGCGCTGTAATTTAAATATTATGACCTGTTACATTCGGCATATTTTAAATCAAGAATATTTTATAAGTACTTGCGTATTTTTTTCTGGGGCTAGAGATTGCGAAATAATTTCATAAAATTAAGATTTATTTGATTATTTTTTAGTTTTTCAATTTTAGGGATTCAAATTGCATCAAGCTGCATTTCAAAAGATGTTTACATGTGCAAATGGTATTCATAATTTTGCACTGTAGGAATTAGTCTAAACCCTTTTAAAACTATATATCAAATCCTAAAATTTTATCAATTATCCTAAAATTTTCCTTTGACATAGTAGTCCGAAAAAGAGATAAATTATGCTCGCAAATACAACAAAAAATACATGGAGAAATTGTTTTTAATAAAAAAAATCTTTGTTAAAAAAACATTCTGTTTAATAAAGCTAAATTAATTCTGATTAATTAAACTAAAATATACGGTATATATATACCATTATTTTTTCAATTCATGTAATAACGGTTTACTGGATATTAGGTTTTTCAAAACCATAATCCTTATTACCACACATTTAACAAAAAATTCAAAATTGAAGAATAAATTTAACCGCCATGTTCTAAGGCATCATGATAAATTTAAAAAATTTCATTACATTTATCAAATTTTATCACATATTATAAAACCATATTTTGCTGTTCATTTTTCCAGAATCAATATAAAAAAAAGTTGCTTCAATTAAAATTACCGAGCTTTTGGGAAGCTTCGAGCTTTTCTCTTAGAACCAGACACAAGGTAACGTTTACCATGTTCTGATATTTTTGACCACACGTTTTTCTCAGTGTAAATCTGGGATCCACATCTCAACAAAAAGTCCTTCAATCATTCATATTCAATCATTCAATCAACCTCATTCATTTTGTTACATTTTAATGAAATTAGGTAATAAAATAGGGCAACTTAATGTTGTAAATGCTACGCTTGAATTAAGTGGGAATCAAATTCTGATTTAACATGTTTGTCGTTAAAAAAATGTATTATTGAAATCTTAAGATGTTTCTGTATTAAGTGTTGTTGAAATTTAAAACCAGTTTTAAAAGTTTATACTTTTAATAATTTCCTCTTTACTATATAAACTCTAAATAAAGCATTACCAAAACCTTAAAATTCCATCATTTTTGTCTGGGTGCCATATTTTGAATTTGGATACATTTTCAAATTTTCAACTATTGCACTCATAGCAGTGGTTAATAATGTTGACAATGGCACAAATCCGTAATCCGCCTTTTGTACTCTAGGAAAAATGTGGCCGAAACTACCAGGATGTGGTAAAATTTACCATGATTCTGCCTCTCTCTACGGAGACACCAAAAAGCTCGTTAAATTTTACCGAAGGTCTTTGGTAATGATTTCGGTAAAATTAACATTAAAAAAAACTTTTTTTATAATGAGTAATAAAATTTGGTAAACTTGGTAAGTTCTGATAATTTTATCATGATACCGAGGGCATGGCATAAAAATCATTTATTCAGTTAAATTCGCTTTTCAGTTTTGTATTATTTATTAAACGTGGGAACTATAACTTTGTAAACGAAAATTTTTAGTAAATACTTATTATATAAACAGAAAAATTTCCAAATGAATGGTTTTACATATATTCTTTATACATATATGGCTTTATTTACCAAAAATGCGCTTTTTTTACTAGAAATATCTAGAAACATATACAATTGGATTATTTTATCAGAAGTATTTTCTCCGTGTATATTAACGGTCATATTGCTTTTAATATCTTAGGTTTATACTTTTTGAATGATAGAATTTTTAATTTTAAGTAAACTAAATTTAATATTGCTTTTGTATTAATATATTTGAGGGCAGCATACATTGAAGTGCAGCGTACACTAGAGTTGGACAAAAATGTAATCGATTACATTTTTTGATTACAGTAATCAATTACTTGGAATCATGATTACAAGATATCTTAATTTTGATTACAACTGTAATCGTGATTACAACAAACAATTACAGTAATCAATTACTTGTAATCGTCATTACGACTTTGATTACAGCTGTAATCATGATTACAATTGTCGATTACAGTAATCAATTACTTGTAATCGTG